GATGATGACAAGCGGTTATAACTATAGTTCTAGTTTCTACCGACTACAGAGCAAAACCTTAGGCAACTTAGACAACCTCGGACAGTAAATAATAAGGACTTGAGGTAATTTTTTTACATGTATTTATATTCAATGTACTCACTACAATCTACTGTGTAGACCATATTATAGTGATTTATGATTATGTATTATAATACACTCAACACCAGAGCCATCTTTACTACCCCCCCCCCCCATCCGAGTCGTCGGTTAATTCCAATCTGGACGTGCGTGCTGCTACAGGTCATTCCTCCTGGATGACGACAGGGAACGGGCGGACGGATCCCGTTTCTCGTCGGTTCATCCCGTCCCGGCAAAGGTCCACCGCGGGAAGTCTTTTGCCTTTTTTTCCCCCGGAACCCTTTTGTCCAGCAGCTAACAACGCTTTCTTTTGTCCCGGATTGACGTGCGTTGTCGCCACACCGGCCCTTTTGTACACGGGATATTTTATCTTTTTCACTCACACCACACACACACACACATACTTGCACAACAATTGCTTCACTATAGTATACTTACACTATAGCTCTTGTCTACCGCAGCTGTGGCGGACGTTTAATTATTATTTATTTCCGACCAAACTTTCCGTATTGTATTCTCCGTTCGTCCTCCGCCCGAGAATGGAATTTAGATGGCAAAAGCTCTGGCTATTAGGAAATGTTCAAAAATTTAGTTTTTTTTTCAACATCTCATTTAGTATATGTTTACAAGTATATATATATATATATATATACAAGTATAGAATTTCAACTTAGGAGACGCTGATGGTTAAGTAGGACACCAGACTGGTAACTGGAATTGTATACTGTCAACTAGTTTAAGTCAACATATTTTATGCCTCAAGATTATGTTAATTTACCGGTTAATTTGTGCAGTATTATTTATTAATTTAAATAATTTTTTTCTATGTGTAAAAGCCATTTTGGTTTATTTTTACATCAAAAAGTCAGTCAAAATTTCGACTACTTAGGATGGTCCAGTGTCAATTATGCTAAGAGATTCGAGTTGTTCGGCTTCTTTACTATATAATGTGGGATGCCGATTTTCATTTAAAAATTTCGGTTTATTGTAATTAAATAAATTAAATTTGCTATTTTTCAATATTAAAACCAGATTTTTTTACATAAAAATAACAAAACTCCGTTTCCTACATAACCTAGAAAAATTTCTAAAGAACTAGAATCTCTTTACAAAATTCTACTTAGATCAGATCCCATGCAATCCGCTTGATTACAATTATATAACATTTGGTGTTATGGTTAGGTTTCAAAAGGGCAAAACTTGATTAATTTTCCGCCATTTGAGTATGAATTCAAAAAAAGAAAAGGGTTTGCTGTTAGGTCACAACATATTAAAATTAAAAAAATAATTCAAGTACCTAGCGGGTATGAAACATAAAAGAAGTCGAGCGTTTTGGTGTTTTTTTTTTTTTTAAAGACTTAAGTAAAAAATTGCTCAATTTTACACTTTACCCAATGTAAAAATTTTCTATAGCAAGTTTTCAGCTACTAGAATATATAATTTTGTATTGCTTGCACAAAAACCACACTGTCATGAAAAAAAAAAAATGAGAGTTTTTTTAAAAATGTGTAATTTTTTTTTTTTTTTATAAAAAGTTTACAATCCGTACAAACATTGTAACGCATCGTACTACACGTGATGGAGTGTTTGAAGAGGAAAACCATGTTCTTACCGAGTTACAATGGGTTGTCAAGTATTTCGTTTGAACGGGTAAGGTCAAGTGTAACGGTATAATTACAATTAGGCACAACATGCTTTGTGTGCAAGTTTTAAATACATCTAAATGCAATATGCGTGTCTATTCCTACGAGTGCCCGTTATAACTTTGAAACATGTTTCGTAGCCAGTGAATCACCCTGTACATGAAAACACAAGTCGACTGACTTCCAAAACGCCTCGTTTTTGGTCGATTTCATCATCGCGCGAAGACAGTTTAAAGTGTGTACACAAAGGGCGGACGGACCGTTATTCTTGAAGAAGTTAACCGCGGTCTACTATTGTTCACCAATGAGTTTCGGCCAAAGTAAATGTTAACAAATTCGGACGATTAAGCACTAACCGGGTGTGTACTACTTAGGTACGTGGTGGGCACTTGGCGTTTACAACGGCTAAAGTGTACACTTGAAAAATGTTCGGGGCTTCCGTTCGAGCAGCAACCCTCGTCGCTTGATGTGTGCGGTCCCCGAATTACCATATATTTGTACCTAAGGACAAAAAGCGAAAAAAAAAATTGATATATATATATATATACTTTCAGAAAGCCAAAGTTCAGCAGAAACCCTTGAAAAAGAGCCAATTATTGGTTTAAAAACTTACACAACTTCGAATACTAAAATCCGCAAAACAGTCTCGCCTGATCTGTCACTCGGTATTTTTTTTATTTTGTCCAATCTAAACGGTTGAAAATATTTAAAAAAGAATATTGTCTTCGGTACATGTTATATAATATAGTGTTTATAAAAATTATCATATCTTGAAAGTTTTGTTATTGGCTATTTGTTGTAGTGCTATTAAATGATATTATTATTATTATGTTATCTTTTTATGACACAAGTTATGCCACCGCAAGTCGTTATGCACAATCTAAGTAAAAATAACCGTTTCCATACCAACTTGGCTCGATAACGTTATGTGTATCGGATGTCTTAAAGATTGTCCCGTTATGCGAATTTAACCACCGCCGTTGTTGTGGAAAATTTCCCTTATAGTTTTTCCGGATGTTGAAATTAATATTCAATACTTCACTTTTCGCCTTTTTCAAAATATTAGTAAAGTCATAGTAAAAAGAAATTCTTTTCACCGGATAAACCATTTTGCCTTGACAATAAAAATTCAATTAGGTACTCAGTTCTTTGCCTTAGTTAACTAATTAATGTTTAACACAGTGCCGAGCTCGGATAACAAAAAAAAAAAAAGAATTAACTAAATAAGATAAAGATAATTTCTTATTTTTTTTTTTATTTGGGCGACATAACATTATAAAGATAAATCGGTTTGGTCTTGACGAAAAAAATTATTCTAAAAATTGTCATCTAAATTAACATCAGTAATTATACATGTTTTTTGTTCCTAATTAGGTTATAAAGTATAAGTTATTAGTGAGAATGTTTGAATATTATTTTTTTTCCTCTTAATAAAAAATTAATATGCACTTTATCATCAGATACAAATTTTCCTAAAACAAATTCTATCTTGGTCATAGTTTATAAGCTCTATTTTTTATACATGTTTATAAAGAAATAACTTATTGGCGATGAACATCAAACATCAAATATTTCCTATATCTTACTGTACAATTCAGAGTGGCAAAGTGTTTTAAATAAAATGTTTTAAACATATGTTTCAAACGTTTTAAGCAAACGGTATTGTTTTAAACGTTTTAAGTTTACTATATAATTACATTAATTTTATAATTTTCACAATACTAGTGGAGTGTAGTATTATTTTTATCTGCTTGCATTTCACAACCGCACTTCCCCTCCCATCATAACTTTTAAACTCTTATAACTTCAAAAATAGTTATCCGAAACTGGTTATCGACCAGTCAAAATGTGTAATACATTGTATGTATTATGATTACATATGTACATTAGTCTCTATTTAAAAAGGTAATAAAATATATACGTTACCATTTAAGTCTCAAAAGTTACTATCGAAAAAATTAAGTTGGGAGGGGGATGAAAACAAAAAAAAAAAATGTGAAAAATTATGATCACATTGTATAAAAACTATACGAAGAAAAAAAATTCAATTATTAATTAAACCCAGTGAGATATTGACTGGTTCATGTTAAAAGAATCACCCTGTACATATATATATATATGTATATATATGTTATTTTAATTAATTCATTTGTATTTGTTGAAACATACAGAATTCAGATTTTAATTTTTAAGGTATAATATAACAATAAATATAAAATACGTATTATTTTTAAGTATACATAACACTAAATATGTGCCCAAGGGTTTGCTCTGTAGCCTGTAGAGTTTGTTTGTAGAACGTTTTAAATAAAAAAAACAATGTTTTTAACATGTGTAAAACATAATTTTTTAACTATATTAAAAATAGTTCAAAACATTAAAAACATAGTTTTAAACAAAAAAAACGGAAGAAAAAATTTTTTTTATATTTTTTTTGGACTTGGGCGATGCTATATTCCGAAAATTTGTTGTGAAAGCACCTTGAGTTCACGATCACGTTGTGTTTAATAACTAATTATGATATTGTAACGGAACTTTTACTAAACAATTTTAATTTAAGTGTTCTTTTTCATAATATTCTTGAAACATTTTTTTTCAAATATTTAAGTACATAAAAACTGAATAAACAAATTCAAAACGGTATGAATTTCATTCAGTTTTTTTTACTGACTTGAGGTCGAAATTAAAAAACATTTTTTTTTGTTTTATTCTGAACATCATACTATACTTGTTCGATTCATAACTTTTTTTTAAACAATTTTTTTTTTTATGTAACCTTAAAGTTGGGCACTTTACTAAAATGTGATATATTTAAGAGCCTATAACTTTTTATCACACGAACCACAAATTCTGAAATTTGTACAGCACTTACTTATATGTATGCAGAACATTTGGTAAAAGTTTTGTAATGGAGTCGTTTTTTCACTAGGAGCTGTAAGATTTTGAATTTTCACAATCAGAATCGTTTATGTGTTTTTTTTTTTTTTTTTTAATAGATTGATATCGCGCAATCGTCTGCACTCGAATGTACTTCCGGCGGTGGAGATGACATTAATAATTGGCACAGGTATTGTGGTGATACAAACGGCGGAGTTAAAAATAAAGCATAAGACACAACAAACGGCCAACCGTATCGACAGGTCTATTTCTCACTAAACCGGCGGCATTGACATTCGTGTAATTTATTTAGGTCAATAAAAAAAAAAAAAAAAAAAGCAGAAAACTTTTTCGGATCGGTAAGATCTCGGCAATCCGGCCACGGTTAATCTTCCTTCAGTGTGCCACCGCAGTGTGACACCCAAACGTCTTACATCAACACACGCCCGTCCGGTTAGTCGCTTCTCGCTGTCGCCATGAATCCACCGTCTTCACGTCAAGCCATCGTCGGCGCCGCTTCCGAAGTCTCGCCGTTTTCCTCGCCGAACTTCGAGTCGGCCATGATGGCCGCGGCCGTCCCCGAAGGTAAGTGTGTTGCCCGCGGGAAGCGCATATACTTCTTAAACTTCACTCCGGCCGAGGGTGCCAAAAAAATTACTGCACTCAAACCTTTCTTCCTGCCAGAAACTTCAATAACTTTGTTATCCAAAACCGTTTTCTGGTTTCAAAAGTTGGTATAAAAATAATAAATTTTACGAGGCAATGAGAATTGTATAAAAAAAAACATTATTAAAAATAATTCGATTATTATTGAAACCCAATGAGCATTATGACCACAATGACCGAATTGCATTATTCTCACACAAGAAACCGCTTTTCTTCTAACGTTCTTTGTTCCACCGCTAGCGTCTATACTTGATAAACTTAACTAAAAATTGAGAACAATTTACTGAAAATGTTGACTGCTTAAGTTCAAAATTTAAGTTGAAAATTAATACCAAAATCCACCCTTCTTGACGTCCTAAATTTTGAACTTTAGACTTTAAATGTAATTATCCATAGCTGGTTATCGACCAATGCAAAATATTCAGCTAATTATTTGTAATTTAATATATCTATATGTTGTAATTTAAGTTTCAATGGTTGCTACAGCTCTGGAAAATACAAAACATTTAAATGTTTTGGCCTTTGGTTGAATACATTTCAATTGGATTTGAATTATATTAAAAATAAAAAGGGGTGCAGGTAAATTAATTAATTTTTCGATTTTGTGGGTTTTACTGTGAGTTTTACTATTTTACTGTGTTAGCTATTTCGAATTGTGAGTGACTTTTTTTTTCATAATCTAATCTGAAAAAAATTGCTGCTTGCTAATATTGTAATATATTTATTAATTCAATTATCAATACTAATAAGTGTATCATAATATACATATACTTGACAAGCTGCAGAACAACATTATAAAGGTTCTAATTTACTTTTGTTGGCAACCAATCTGTGCTTAAGCAATTGCCCTATTAATGAGCGCGTTTAACCTTTGAGTATAATTATTAATAATACAATATACCTACTCTTATAGTAGTAAAATGTGTAGCAAGAGTATGAAAACTCTTGTACTTACACAATATTGCCACTCTATATTTGATATATTTATATTTTGGCCTATATACAGTAGCAAGAAAAAAAGCAATAATACAGATTTTAAATATGATTAAAAACTACTTCATCAGTTTTCAATACAAATTGTATCTACTTTATAAAAATCATTTTTACTTCTATATTATATGAATATAATATTAAAATAATTCTCAATGTTGGGTCGGGCACTAAATTTTATTTCCAACTCTTTCAGGTTTTCAAAAATGTGATTCTTTAAAAAAAAAAACTACTAAATGTTTTCTCTTTTTTTTTTAAATATATTTTAAATAAGCTACGGCATTGGTATTAAAACCTCTTTGATTAGTTTATCTTTTTTTTTACTTGGACAAACTCAAAGTCGAATTAAAATTTAATTTAAAAGGAAACTCGATGAAAATATATCATTATATTGACTAAAATAATTACTCAAAGTCGACGATGGTATGATAAAATGAATACCGTGTAATGTTATGTATTTTGACAATTAATTACAAAAGGCTTTGATGTCGCTCCGCTGTCTTTGTTTTTGTCAAACTTATTATGATAGCAACGTGCAGGTATTAAACACAATTTCCAGAATTATTATTGCTTATACAAAACTTATTTGCTCATACACCAGTTGCTATTGATTAACGGATCACTGAAAATTGAAAATATATTGATATAATATTCGGTAAACATCTATATGTCAGTCTTCCAAGTTTATATTTAAGGAAAACCTTTGAACTGCTTTTACAACAACTGCAATGATGAAACGCTTTGGCCGCACTATTTTCATAAGTATTTCAGCGTTAAATCAACATTGATCCACCGATGACGGGTTTATGGGGCTACGATTATTTATACCGAGCTTAATCCATTAGAGTTTCAGTCGACACAAATAGATATCCTCGTATGAACTTTCAATGTTGAATCGTTAAAAAAAAAAATCAGTAGCTCAAATAGAAAAAAAAAATTCTAATATGCACAAGCAAAAGCCTCGGATTTATTAAGAACAACATTCCTGATATTATATTTTTATACAATTTATCCATTTTTATATTTGGTAACATTTTTTTGTTGTAAACTATTATGCTCTTTTTTGTTTTTTTTAAATATTTTATTCAAAGTAGTAAATTGTTAATTAAACCTTATTCAAGTCTAATACGTCAATTTATGGATAATAATATTTCCTAATTGTTGCCTTTAATGGCTAGAACGGTCATTAGTGTCTGCAGCTACTTTGGTACTTTTGAACTGAGTAATAAAACTGTTAAATGGGTTTTTTAAATTTCATTAAGCGCAAATAAAAAACACTACTAGTCGGTGCGAATTCGAGCTTTTATTCATAAAAAGAAACCCCTTTTTCATCTTGAAGTAATAATAATCACGTTCCATGTTTTACATATATTGTTGACAGACAGCTGTGCTTTTGGTTCCAACAAGTATTTTTTGCTTTGCGGTCTCGGTGGATTCCTGTCGTGCGGTATTACTCACACCATGGTCACTCCTTTGGACTTGGTCAAGTGCCGTTTGCAAGTCGACCAGGCCAAGTACAAAAACGTCGTCAACGGTTTCAAAGTAAGTAAGCTCGCCGCGGTCCGTAGTACGGGTCTTAGACAAATCTTGTTTTACTCCAGGTGACAATGGCCGAAGACGGACTCAGAGGTCTGGCCAAAGGATGGGCTCCGACGTTTTTGGGATACGCCGCTCAAGTACGTTCGCACACAATTTGCTGGCATGTACATACGGCAAGTGGAGTTTTTGACGGATTTGGTCGTCCCGGTCAATCGTTGCTCTGTCGAGGGGTTTTCGTTTTTATACTGTATTTTGGATACGACCAAAAGGGCTTGGTCCTTCGCGCCAGTACCGTGACGGACTCGACGTTTTGATCGTTTAAACGAAACCCGTCGAAAACTCCGCTCGTGCAAATGCAAATGCTAATTCAACACACGTGCACGACGTTAAAATTAACCGACACTTACGTCCAAACAGGGTTCGTTCAAGTTCGGTTTGTATGAAGTGTTCAAAGTGTACTACTCGGACATAATCGGCGAGGAGAACTCCTATTTGTACAGGACACCGTTGTACTTGGCAGCGTCCGCATCGGCTGAGTTTTTCGCCGACGTCGCCCTCAGCCCGATGGAAGCCGCTAAGGTGAGTGGTAGACAAAATTATACTTAAAAGCTCTAATTGAATCCCCCCTTTTCAAAATTGCAACACAAAGAGAAGATTCGGATGGATGGTAACGTTTGAAAGTCAAACACACTTATTTAGTATAAAGTTTTAAGGCAAAGACGGAAGTGCGACTAAAGTCAATTGACTAAAGTCATACTAAAGTTAATTGTTTCGTTTGAGTTTAGTCTGAATAGAGTTGTCGAGTCCGGGTATTCGTCGATTGGAAAAAAAAATAATACATTATTCGAATAACGTTATTTCAAAATTTTACAGTCTTGAGTTGGATAGCTAATAGTATTTTTAATAATCTGATATTCAAATAGTTTTTATTGCAACCACTATTTGCTTAAAAATCATCAAATACATAAAGATCTTTTTACTTTAACTAGTACCTTATTCGAATCGGTTTAGCAGTTAATTGATTAAGTTTTGCCCAGCTCCGCGTGTGGGTCATTATAACACATTTTTAGGTTGTCTTTGGAAAGTTACAATTCGGCGGTCGTTTGGGATCACTTTGGGAAGATTTGGGCTCTTAATGCTAATTATTAGGATATTTCGATTGATTTTTGTCTACAAAATGATGATCGGTACGAACAACGAGTGGGTTGCTATTATTTTTATATTGGAGTTCTCCAATATACAGTTCTGTCGACGGGCTGGTGTGGTTTATACGGTTTTCAATGTGCACTGTGACCGACGAATGTTTAATAATAATAATATTAATCAATTATTATTGGGGGAGGGTGAAAAAAAAAACGGTATTGTTAGGTGCAAAATTATACCGTCGCAAAAGTTTTAGTCAGGTCGTCACCGGCGTAGTCGGCGGAGGATTATAACAAAAAAAAACCCGTACACGTAGCAATTTTGAATTCCTGTAAAATACCGTACACGTTCGCATATTATATATTCGATTCGGTATTTCGCTTTAACAAAAAAATAAAAAAAGGGTGATCCGAACCCGCCGTTATATGGTTTTTTAACGGTCGGTTGTATTTTGAAAAGTTTTTAATTCAGCGCCTCCAATGAATAATGCATGCTGAGCTACATTTTTTAATAAATAATAATAAAAAAAATCATAACGCTGTGTATAATTCCTAAATCCGGATACAATCGTGCGCTGCGGAATCGTTCGATTAATTCCACAGGCGTACTTTTTATAGGTTGTCCGCCTACGGACTTGTTTTCGCCGATTGATTCCAAACGTTAAACTTTTTACAATTATGGAAAATGCCGAAAAATTGGGCAAAAACTTCTCTGAGAGTGAAAAATGTCTATTAATTGATCTCGTTGTGCTTCTAAAAAAAAATTACTCGTAATGCTCCAGTTGCATAATAACGCAAAGCTATTAAAATTTATAGTTCAGGCGATAGAGATGAACTTCTGAGGGTTTTATGTTTAATATTTTCACCAATCGTACGCACAATTATTACCATGAATGTTTCTTTGGACAATCTATTAATAAAGAATATCATAATGAAAAAGCATACTTAGGTTATTGGCAGCTAATTTATGCCTTCATGTCATACACGAACAAATTTATAATTACCTATTACTTGAAGTCTATATCATCATAGTCTTCAGTAGGATTCCTTCAGTATCTTTTAGTCGTCTTGGTCTTGGAAGATGAATTAAAAGTTCAGTTATCTGAATCGTCAGACGAATACGAAGATGACAATGACATTTTATTACAAAAAGTACCAAATTAAGTAATAAGTATTGTTATAAAAATATTAATAATAAAAGAAAAATGCATAATCCCACTAGTACAAGTCAATTGATTTTTCGTGATAGCAAAAAATATTAATTAAATATTTCATTGATAAAGAGACCGGATAAACCTTGCTGTACATTTTACAGAACTCAAATCAGACCTATAACTAATCCATTCGATAACTTTCAATTCAATTTTAGTATAGATTTTAAGCTTTAACATTTAATACTTTGCAACTATTTTATACTTTCAATACTTTTGAGTTAGAGATAAGAGATAGGAGATAAGAGATAAGAGATAAGAGATTAGAGCATATTTCAATATAAAAAATACCTTTTGGGTACAATATAATATTATGTATTGAATCGGTCCAGTAGTATAAGAAATATCGTGGCACTTTAGATACCAATTATTTTTTTTTTTAAAGTTACCTATTAAAATCTCAACCGGACGCCGGAAATTTGAGTTATGGTCAAGTTAATGATTAAAATAATATTTTACACACTCAAAAGTTGATAAATACAAAACCATAGTAATTATCACTTGTAAATATGCATTAAATACCGATCAAAATACAAAACTAAATATTTTTTATTCTCGGGCAATTAAAAAATTTGTATTTTCAGCAAGCGTTTGAGCGTTGAATACTTTATTTTGAAATATTCCAAATGAGTAAACTTGTACTACATAAAAAATAATTGTAAATTAAAAAAGATATATATAATATATTAAAAAAAACTACTCCCTTAGAAATTATTTTATCGTGCAGTGGTATATAAAATATAGATCCGTTATTTATGTATAACATTTAATAGATAAATTATATAAAGAAACAAATATTTAATATTTTTCGTGTCAACATCATAAATTAAAGCTTATAATAGTACTTTGCCTTTAGGGAAATAACGACACCATAGAGAATGTTTTTTTTTTTACTATTTACAAGTCAACTATAAAATAAACGAATATATGTAAATTTTTCATTTTTAGAATTCAATTTGCATGACAAAATTATTATTTTAATCGGTTTTATTCATCTATAAGTATTTTTAAATTACATTTAAGATTGCATCCCTTGTTTTATGCTTAAACAGAGTATTTTGTAGTAGAGCGCGATTAGGGATTGAAATTAAATTTTTGTTTTTCATACTATTCCAAAACGTTAAACGCACTTAAGATAGGTACTCAATATTTCACTATTTAGTGTTTTATTTGTTTTTACCGTAGTGAACATTATTATTTATTTTCCAGAATTCAGTTGTCGGCATTTTTTGAAAGTAAACTCAAGTTAGACGTCTGTTAAGTCAAACATGGATTTCTAAATGTTATTAAATATTTACAGCAAGTTGCTCTAAATAAGGTTTAGTAAACGTAGGTACAGCCCAACAAAGTTTGTCAGTTTAGTGGAAAACTAATATTAAACTAAATAATTAGCCGGTAGTTTAAAGAAGAAAAAAATCCATTTTCTATAGCCTAAAGAAAGATAGCGTTTTGAAGCGAGTAAAGTAACACAGCTACAGAGAGTTTATTTAGTCGATCGATCAAAGTATTGTTTACTGTTTTTTGATTATAATTTCTTAATGTTCAGTATAGAAATTCAATTAAACAGTATCCGATATTATGTATTATCACAGACTTAAGGCAGCTGACAATCGTTCAGGTGTCAAATGTCGTTTGGCAAAAGTATCTGGGCTCTGGATAACAAATGTATTATTCATGGTTCGATCCGTTGTTGACCTTTTCAATATTGAAATGCCAAACGGCCAAGTGTAATGCGTTTTCGATTGGCCGGCCGAGCACATTTGTTATGCACGAAGGTATTAAATAATCAATAGCTAGGCGGAGAATAGGGAAATAATTAAGTACTTAGGCCCCTGCCGTCGGGGTGCATATTAAATTATTCAGACGTTTAATTATACATTCGCCGTACCCCGAAATTAAAAGACCCTTAATAATAATTATTGTATTTATTCAACAAAAACATTGTCGTTCGTTTTAAATACCTACTTGGTTTTTTTTTTTTTGGTGGGGGGGGGGGGGGGGTTCTAATAAGCGGTAAAATTATCGTGTGGGTTTAAGAAAGAAAGAAATTAAAAAAAAAAAAATACCCCCGTTAAAATTAGAAGAAAACAATGTCTCGTGGCAAAATAAAATTTACATAAAATATTTTTTTGCTTATTTACCCAAAAAATGGTTGTGCCGATAAATAACGACCGCGCGTACACTAAATCGTGCCTAAAAATACTTAAGTATTTATTTTTGTACAATACATATATGTATATATACTTAAGTAAGTAGATTGCGAGTTGATATAATCGTATTGTGCTAACGTATATTATAAAATAGTATGTATAGTTAATTTATGTTTTGATATTTATCGCTATTTTATTAACGGTATTTCGACGGACTTGAGCGGTTTAAAAATACTTTTTTAAATTTTTTTAATGTCTTTACAACCAGACTACCTATAAGTGGGGCAATTGGTTGGTTTTACGAATAAAAAATAGATTCTAACAGTGTTCTCGGCTAAATAAACAAATTGTATTGCATTTTAATACTACTCAAAATCAAACGAACACTTGTCGTCATCTATTTGTAAATTATTGACCACCGTAATAAACTACCTTTTGTTAAACATTATATTTTGTTTAATTAACATGTGTTTAGTTTACAAGTGTTGCCCAATCGTTGTTTTATATTAAGGTTATTACCAGTATACTGGTTATCGAATAAATGGTATCAACGCTATTATATTATCATTCAGACAGCCAGTTTCACCAACTATTGTTAAATACACTCTTAACACAATGTTAGTTCACAATTCGTTTAAATTTAACATCTGGTTAGTTAAATGAAATAAGTTTCACCATGACATTATTATTGTTAAATTCTATTTGTTAAGTTAAACAAAACGTCAGTTGGGTTACTAAAGCGGTTACCTCGATTCCAACGTTCTCATTGGTTATTAAGATATATGTGATAACTGATAAGTGATTGTATTATTTAATTTGTCAGTTTGTTATTATTTGGCATTTTGTTTTACTTTCTTTTAACGTTTCGGTTTATACTTCATATATAATTTTGCTAACACATTGTTTAGATAGTTTATTCTTTTTTAAAAATAATTTGTCATCAAGGTCATTAAAATATTTTTTTCTATTTTAAAGGCATAAAAAAAAGTAGATAGTGATAAGAATTATTTCTATTCTTATACTCAGGACAGGCAAGAAGACATAATTAATACTATCGAAATTACAAAATACAATAA